CTGGGTCGGCTAAGCGGACCTCACTGTGCCGTGGGCGTGGCCCAGGACAGCCGCGGAGCTTCAAGCTGCTAGTCTCACCTGGCCGGTCGCAGCTTAGAGCTGTCCTCTATATTTCATCACTTCATAATATTTTTACATTTATTCTCACGGTAGAATATTTACATGTCATGTAGTGCCAATAGATATTTTTGTGATATAATTCAAAGTTAGTGCTTTGCAATGAATATTCTGCTTGCAAGAAAGCTTAAAGGGCTTAACTATACTTCTGTTGCGAAATATGTTTGAAAATAAAATGTAGAGTGCAATAATTCAACATAACACTAGTTATTTTAGGTTATAATTATGACATATATTAAAATATGTTATCTTCATTATTATACCCATGTTGGTAGGAGATATGGACATTTTTAAAATACAGAATAAGAATTTAAGAATTCTGTCAAGCACTGAAGTACAGAATCCTTCAGTTTAAATTTTTCTCCAACATTCATACTTATCTTGCTCACACTTAAAATGGACAGCAACTCATTTTAGAAACTCATTTTACAATGAAAAATTATTTAATTTTTTATTGAAATGATAACATTTTGCAATTATATTTATTCACTTGTAAATTAGTTAACCTTTATGATCACAATAAAACTATGAACAGAAAAAGATATTTCAGAAAAACATAATTGTCTTAGGTGCTACAGCTCAAGAGATGAGAGTAGCTAGGAGCAAGAAAAATAGCACAGGAAATTTTAAAGTGGAATCTAAGAGAGGTGAGCCAATTGGTTAATCGGAATTCCATTGGGGAGTTGCTATTGAATTGAAAAATTATAATGGAGAACACATAAATTATTTTAAATATTTATTCCCATTTCTGTATATATCTTCATATATATTATACATATGTACTTACACAACTATATTTGGCTACTATGTATTGTGTTTATTCTGTGAGGCAATAAGTTAAATACATCATCTTACTGAAATCTGAAGACAACTAGATACTATTAAGGAACACCTACTTAAAGTCTAATTAAATGGGAGTAAAGCAGTAGTTTGGTAATGTTTATTCCCTAGAATAAGCACCTAATTTGGGAATACACAGTCCAGTTAAGAGAAATGTGTCCATATTAGAAAATTTTTCAATAACCTCCATATCTCTAAAATATTAGACTTGCTTGAACAAAAATAAAAACTTTTGTTTATTATTGTAAACAAATACAAATACCATTATAAGAATGTGCTCAATGATTACTACAATTAGTATTATTAGGAAACATTGATAATGATTTCCACCTGAACTTGTTTATGCAATAGTAAATATTTTGTTTAGGAAGTTAGAAATACATAGGAAAGCATAGAGAACAAAGTAAAAATGGTTATTTATAAATCACTCATCTGTTTTAATAATGATCATATTTGGACTTTTCTCCTCTTTGTGACTATGTATATGTCTTTGTGCATGCCTATGTAATTTTTTTTAGTAAAACTTTATTAATCTATGTAGACAGTTTTGTTACCATGGACTGTTTGGCATGGTATGAGAACACCAGAATTTCATGGAGTTTCACAGCTCAGCCTCTGAATTCTGACTTCCTGGGGTAACGTTCCAGTTTCATTTCTAGGTATGTGTTCTTGGCAAATTAAAAGAATCTCCTAAACCTCAGATTACTGACATGGGAATAGTAACATCTATCTTGCAGATTCAAATGGATTGATCCATGTAAAATGTCTGGTTCAGGAAACATTACATTTATTTATTTTTTAATAGATACTTGGTGAGCCATCAGTATTATAGGCTGTATTTAGACAAATACCCAGTTGAATCTCAGAAAATTCTTCTAAAAGGTAGGGAAGACTATATACATGTCAATACATTAATTTTTTTTTCTTTTTTTTTTTTTTTGGGTACCAGGGATCGAACTTAGGACCTTGTGCTTGCAAGGCAGGGGGGCGGAACCACTGAGCTAAATACCCCGCCCAGTACACTAATTTTCAAAAGATTGCAATTCAATAGTCATTTTTATATGGCAGTTAAAGAGAAAATTTAACAGTAAACTAATGAAACACCTGAAATAAGAAAATAGCTTATGAAAAAATATGAAACTATGAATTTTCACTTAAATAGATTGACTTTCTCCTATATTCCATTTACTATTTTTAAGGAAATATATATTGCCTATTGCAACAAGAGATTGTTTCTTTAGTACTATATTTTTAATCTGAATTTACAGTGTATGTTCAAGATTTTCAGTTGGTTACTAAACTTGTGTTAATAAAATTTTAACAGATTAATGGTATGTAAAACATTGTTTAAAATTGTCTTGCTAGTCCAACACAGAGGTTAATGTTTTACTGGCTTGCATGTTTTCATGTCCATGCTTACGGAATCTCTTAAATCTCATGATTCAGAGAAATTAATTGAGTTACTATTTGCAAGCGTGTCACTTCTGAGAATTAATGTGTCTAAAATAAAATCTATGTCATTTGTTACATCTACTAATAACAGTGGACAAAGTTGAAACGTACCATTTAGTTAAATTTTAAGTGGCTCAATAATGTTCAGTTACTCTGAAAGTAGGAACTTCAAGTCTTCTCAAAGGTCACATGGTGAAATTCCCATAGTGAGCTACAAGTTGAGTCTGGAAATATCACAAGAAAGGATAGTTTCCAGTTTCTTCCTTCTTTGTAAATTCTTAATTGAGCATTCAATTTACAAGAACACCTTTTTCTTTTCACCTTCATATCCATCTGAACGTTTTCAGTCCTGTGGGTTCATAAAAAATATTTGAAAGCACTATCATAAAGCATGGAAAACTTTACTAATCTCAACCATGTTGGTTAGTGTTCATGGCTTAAACAACTGATATTACTTCCTTATTTAAATATTTTTTAGATACTTAATGTTCTCATGGAAATATCTGGAAGGCTAATGTGGGAATATCATAATTGAAAGGACAAGCATCTCTGAGGCAGAAATAGGCAGAGAAGGGATGTCAGTAGTTGATTCCCAGCATGTCTCTGGTAGATTAATAATCTAAATTGTATGCTTCTTGGTGGCTGAGAAATTTTACTATTCTTTGAATTCTTAATATAATTTCTGTCTCATAATAAGAGAATAATGAATATTGGTTGAATAAGTAAACAAAATTTTAAGCCAAATATTCCATAAAATAAGAAGTCCTTCCCATATATTAAAAATGGATATTGAAATTATATTTAAATTTAGTTCCATGTACTTCAACATGACAAAATTTGTCTATTCTGCCTTGGAGCAAGAGATCCTATTTCCTATACTATAATCTGAAAGCTATGGGCAAGGACTTTAGAAGATTTATAAGTCAATTTCATCATCTGTACTTTTATCATTACATAGTTATATAACACATACATTAAGACTTAGAAAATTACATATTTTTAACATATAAGAAACTAGTATAGTTCTAGACTTAATTTCTGCTCAATATATTCTAGTTCAACAGTAAATGTATTGCTTTTTATTTCACTCAATAAGTTGCCCCAAAGAAAGTTTCTTTATATTTAGACCTCACTAGCACAACTTATTTTTTCCTGGACATTTTATTTGACTTTGTTATTAAATGAAGAGTTGTGTGATTAACTTATTAAAACTAACAGGTGACTCAGTCATACATTTTTGGTAAAGGGACTCATTTTCTTCCAGAACTTTTCATGCCTTATTGCCTCCTGCTAAAAACATCCTGTGATTTCTTTTTACGTCACTCTTCAGTTGGATCATTCACTCAGATCCATGGCTTCTTTCTTGCTTTCTTTTTTGTTTCTTTAGGTTATAAATTATTTTCATTTTCAGAAGAGGCACATTAACAGTAAGACTTTATAACTTAAACATTTCCTTTAAAAATTTCCTTTCACATTTAAATGAAAATATTGCTATATATAAAATTGAAGTTTAAACATATTTTCTGAAATAGATGATTGTTTATCCTCTCATAAATGCAAAAGCTGATGGCAGGCTGTTGTTTTTCTTCTGCAGAGTGTTTTTCCATTGAATAATGTGGTGATTTCTTTGATCTTTAGATTTCTGAAATTTGTCTGAATTTTATTCCATTTCATTCTTTCTATAATCTATGGACTCCTTCAATTAGAATCTTTCTCTTTCTTAGTGATATGTTTTCTGTTATTTCTCATCTGGTCCTCCAACACTTATGTGTAGCACCTTCCTAACACTGGGGCTTGAATATTCTAACTTTTCCATTTCCTGGTGTTTTGCAATTTTATCTTCTGGGGGATTATTTTCATCTTCCAGATTACTAATGGAGGATTGTTCTTATCAAATATTCCCAATGATTATACATTTTAATAATTATAGTTATCATTTTTAATTTCTAAGAATTCTTTCTTATTCTTCTGCTCCTTTTCTTTCATTAAGTTTATTGGTACATTTTAGGTATACAATCCAATGACATTCATCATTGAGTATTTGTACCTTTACATGCAAATAAAAGAAGATGGAACATTTGATAGATATGGGTTAGCTGTGAACACTATTTGTAGATATTGACAACTATGTATCAGTCATTATTTTTGATGGAAAGAGATAATGAAAATTTGTTACTTCTAAGTACAGAGAAACCAGCCAAGTTCACGGAAACCAATTTAAAGTGCAGTGATACCCTAGGCTAGTAAACATAAGGAACTATTACACCCCAAGGTTTTAAAGAGGCAAGAGGAGAAATTGACATCAGTTTCCAGAATAACTAAAAAAAATGTGCATCATAGCAGATATGGTCTCTGATAAAGGGATAGAATCAAAAAATAGGAAGGAAACAGGATAACAAATACCTCACCTTCTCTTCTCACTTCTTCTGATCTACTCGTGTCTCCCACTAACTGAAACCAGTTGGCACAGGAAGGTAAAGAGAGCTCACTGAAATCTGTTATATAGGTTAACCTCCAGGAATAGAAAGCAGAGTAGGCAAAATGGAAAGTGGATCTGGATGCAGAAATGGGAAATAACTAGCAGAACTCACCCTTCTGCATTCATCTTGTATTTTGTCCAGGTGGAACATGATGTGCTCAACACAGTGATCATCCAAAAATTCCCATCAGCTATATTGGTACAATTCAGTGATCTTCCCACATGGAACTTACAACAGAAGCTAATGTCTGGGCCCTCATAAAAGGCATGAAAGTGAAAGAGGATAGAGAGTGAAAAATAATTATGTTCTGTAACACTTCTCTGATGCAATCTCCATTTCTGATGCAAGTCATGAGGCCTGGTTTCATAACTCTTTTTTCTCCACTACTCATCCTGCTTTATTCCACTACCCAGTAGGTTTTGTTTTCCCTCTGCCAGCACCTCAGACAAATGGAGCTCTGTTAGTGTTGAGGTGATCTTGAATGATCTGAGTCTGTGGTGGTCCTGTTTTTATTGTGTTGCTATCATATCTGGTGGCCAGGACTCATAGGCAAGGAAATATTGAGAAATGCTCCAGTGGATCCTGTGGGTTCCATGCATAGAATCTTTGTCCCCGTCGTGTAGCAGGAACTCAATTTTACCTTGATATCTGGGATCAGTCACTTTACTTAACAAGTCACTTCCTCCTCTTTTTTGTGAAGTCAGTCATATGAGAAAATACTAAAAGTATTCAATAATGAACCAAGTTGTTATTCATTATTATTTAATAATGCCTAAAATAACATATACAATGATTGAAAGCTTAGAGGCAGAGGAAATTTGAAATGAGGTAGTAGAATTTTAATCTATTGTTATATCTCCTTATAAATGTCCTTACAGATTCGTGAACTGGATCCTGAAATAATGAGGCATTTCTTGGATCAGAAATGTTTAATTAATTTCCTTGCATAACATTAAATTTGTATTTCATTGAAATGTTAAGAAGTAGAGAGAAATATGATTTTGTGATTAGAATATAAATGATCATGAAAATAGCAACTAAGTGCAGTCACAGCTCAGTAGCCACAGGGGCTGGTTTTGAGACCCTTGTGGCTGCAAATATTCAAGGACATTCAATCCTTTATATAATGGAATGTAGTATTTGCATATAACCCAGGGATATCTTCCCATATACGCCACATCATTTCTAGATTTCTAATAATATGTAACACAATGAATTATGAAAATAATTGCTATGCTCTTCTATCTAGGGAATATTGACAAGAAAACAAGTCTACTTGTGTTTGGTATAAATGCAGTTTAAAATATATATATATTTCTTCATCCATACTTGAGTAAATTCACAGATGCAGGGGCCATGGACATAGAGAATGGAGAGCTGGCTGGAGTATTGAAAGATAGTATTGAAAGTTTTGAAGATTTTAGAATTTGTCTTCTAAAATAGTATTGAAGATTTTAGAATTTGCCTTTATCTCTGGTATACTTAACCTACCAGATAATATACCTATTAAAAGCATAAGTTTTAATCAATACATTAATAAGTTTTGTGATGCCTTCGGGATCCTAAATATAAGATTGAATTACATGGAAAATATGAACAAAACAATTTATAGAAAACATTTTATTAAGTTTTAAAGAATTCCTCTAGGTTTTTATCAAAAGCTCCACCCACTTCTAGCTATCTTCTGTCTGATATACTTAAGATTCCTGAAGACAAATGTGGCATTTTTGGAGGAACACATGAAGATGTTCCTGATTTTTCATATTTTTGTTACACAATGGAGTGAGTGCAGTCTCCAGGGTCCAAAGCTAGGACAATGGCTATGATTACACTCTTAATAGGAGTGCAAGAGCAAGCAGTTCAAGTACATACTTTACATATTCCTAAAGTTTTCTTGGCATGGTTGAAGAAAACTTTTCAATAACTAACATATTATTCAGATTTTATTTTTTAACACTACTGGTAGCAAATACACTTACATAACTGTTACTGTTGCCTATTTAAATTTTATGCATGAAAGTATAATCTGTGCAGACACAGCAGTTTTAACCTATAAAAGAAAAATATATAAATAAACCTGGCCCTGGTCTGAGAGCTTCCTATGGAGTTTTCCCTCTACCTGCCTGGCATTCTAGTGCCGGAACTGATAGAACTTTAAACATTTTAATATAAAGCACCTGTAGATATTGACAGAAATATACACAAACTCATACACATTATAGAGGTGTATGCCTGTCCAGTTGAACTCACTTTCAAATCTTTAAATTTTTAAGCGACGAACAAAGTTAACTATAATATTATGGGTTTCAAGGGTAATTCTTAAGACACAGAATAATGTTATTATAAACCAGTTGTCCATTTAGCACCATCAGAATATGGATATATGTTTTATAAGCAGCACACATTCTCTCCTTTCTCCTGGTGTTTGCTGACTGTTTTCTTTAATGATGTTCAAGAGGAGGCTTACTTTTTTATGAAGCTCTTTTGTCTTGATAAATTCCTTTTGACTCTATCATGTAGGCCAACTGGTCCAGAATTGTTTCTGTAGACAAGCTGAAATATTTACTTTGAAAAGAAAGAAAAAATTAGAAATAAATGTTTCTTTAGAAGATATTTGATTATAATATCCACATTGGGGAAAAGTACTATATAACCATTTAACGTGTCTTCATCTAATATATAATGAATTCTTTTCATATAAAGTTTTGAGAAGTCTTTTGTAAATTGTGCTGGTAGTGCACATCTATACTCCTGGAACTCTAGGAGGCTGAGGCAGAAAGATCACAAGTTTGATTTTAGCCTGGGTATCTTGACAACTAAGAAAGACCCTGTCTGTGAAATAGAATAAAACAAAATATGCCAGGAATGTAGTCCAGTGTGAAGGTCCTTTGTTCAGCCTCTGTACTACATGAAACAGAAGAGTTTTATATACTAAATAATATGCAAAATTATAACCCCCTAAATTTTATACAAATGAATTATTTTGAATGAAATCTATGGATTATATTCAAATTCTGATTAGAACTTCAACCCTTTGATCTACTGTCCTATTTAAAGAAACTATGAAATGTGTCAGTCTAATGATAGTACAAATAATCAACTTTAATTAAATAACCATATGCAACAGTTGACACAGAAGTGATTTTCAGAAATACCCATGGGAGAGTCGCACATGAAAACAAATTAAGACATTTCCATTTGAACTTCTTTTGATATTCTGAACAGTAAAAGCTGTCAATTTAAAACTAATGTAATTCAATATCTTTGGTAGTACTGTGATATAACACAGTGTAAAAAGTGTCAATGCCATGAATTGATATTTAATGTGAGAAAAGCAGTGATTGCTAGAGGAAAAAGACAGAAGCATGACATTCCAGTATTTCTGCTGGGGCCTTTGGAATGGTTACTGACACACAGACATGACTGTTTGCTGCCAGTGTGGAATCTGTAAATCCACACTCAGTTGACAGGTGCTTGTGACTGAAAGGAGATGGGTGAGTGTGTATGTGAGTGTGGGTGTGTGTGTGTGTTTCTATATGTGGATGACATCTCTTTGCATGTGCTCTGTGGATTGACAGGAGAGCTGCCCTTCCTGCTCCTTTGCTGCTGCCTTCTGGAATAGTTAGGGGGGTGGCAGCCAAGAGGAGGGGCTGGAGCCATATGTCAATGATTTCTGGAATATTCAGCCTCAGTGCTTTCAGTGCCACAGCTCCAAGAGTGAACAGGGCCTTGAATGATACCCAGTGGTTCTTTGGATAACTTATGTAACACAGCTTTACTTCTCTTTCAAGAAAATATATTTATTTAGGTCTATGTCTGGCAAACTTGAGCTTTCTTACAACTTTGGCTGCTCATTTGGCCCTGCCAGTTGTGTGAAAGGAATCACCATGCAAGGCTTTCATGCATGTTCAGTCTCTGGACCTTGTCTCACAGCTTTGGTTCCCAAGTCAGTCAAAGGAATATGTTTGCTTCTACCCAATGACTTGGGATAATATGTTTCTGATATGTGTTAAGGCCCAACTCCATCAGAGATCTTTGAACATTCATTTTAACAAGCTAACATTTACAATATCAGAGATTAAAGGTAAGCAGAGTTCTTGATAACTGACAGACAAGACTGCCACTAAAGTGACTTGTGAGCCAAAGGCCTGCCATACCATCAGTAAGTTCATGCAGATCCCGGGAAGCACCTGTGTGGACTAGAGCAGTGTGGCTTCAGGTAGACTCCACCCAGGGCACTGACCCAACCCAGGAGGCTCTGGCACACCTTCCCAGGCCAAAGGCCTGCCCAGAAAAGAGCTGCACAGATACAAAAGCTTCAGCCAGAGCCCTGCCTTACCATCAGCCAAGGAAGGGCCCACCTGGAAAAGAGCTAGACAGGCTCACAAGCAACAGCCAGAGGAACACCCTGATACAATTGATAAGTGTGTGGAGACCCTAGCCAAAGCCTGAACAGACAACAGGAACTGGGGTGCATATCCCCCAGCCAAAGGCCCTCCCAGACAACAGCTACATAGGGGCCCCAGCTACAGGCACACCTAGATACCATCCCAAGTGTCCATAGGCCCATGCCAGAAGCCAACCCAGACAACATGTTAGCTCAGGATTAAAGAAGGAAACCAATCTGAACCCAGGAATTAGTGTACTGGTGAGCAGCAGAGAAAAGGTTGCTCAGTGGCTTGCTGAGTATTGAAGACAACTGTGTGAGCAAAAAGTCACCTCAACAGGCTGCATCTGTTGAAATGAGAAGACACATAATTAAGTCTCAAAAACAGACTTCCAGATCACCTACAGCAACCCCAAAGGGAAACCAGATGGAACAATCTGATGCTCAGCCACCTGGACTCCCTGAACTGGCAACAAAAGAGAACATGGAAAAATGAAATCAGAAATAATTTCTC